TATATATATACTCCCCAAACCATTATTAACCTTTGGAACACTGTTGTTTAGCTCTTCTAACACTTTGTATGCTCTCAAAATGTTTTACCGCATTTAACTGGGTCACAAGTTATGGAAATTACTGTGCAATGCGAGAAAATGACCGCTTGCTAACGCCAATAAACCGGAATGTTGAAAATGTAGACCTGCAAATGATAGTACTGAGGACTGTATTGTCTGAACAAGAGACAAAAATATCTAATATGTTTCACAACCTTTTCACCCAGATTTTTCACGGAAGTATCCGACATTCCAAATGAACTTCCATGGCCTCTTCGTCTTTCTTCAACCATCCCCAAATCACAGGTTCTGACACACACACACACACACACACACACACACCTCGCACGATGCATTTAATACAACTTATCGTGAATTAAAGCATCCTTAGCGGAAATTGGATGATCTGGCAACAGCCTCGATTTTGAAAAAAAAAATCCCTTGAAGGAATTACTATCACACAGATTTCCACCGAATTTTTTAAATGAATATGAAACAACCATATTTCAGTATGCTCGGGTAAAGCATAATCAATGATAGATCTTAGTAGAGAAAAATTAACTGCTACTAAGGTATATTGAGTTTCACGATTCGAATCTTGCGATATATGACTGTTTTGGTGTCCCGAAATTCGGAATTACTCGCTAAAGTGGATAATTACCATCAGTTTATCCCGTACTGGGCAATCCCACACACAATAATATGCTCTGCAACACCAGTCCATGTGAAATCAAATTTAATAAATTGCTCATTGAAAAAAGGAAACAATTTCAAAGATATCAAACTACTCAATGTCTTCCCCTAGAGGTAGAACTTGAGCTAGACGATCGCTTTGTATCGTTACTTGTTCCGCTAAAGACCGTGGTCCGATCGTGATAGGTACTTTTCTCCCTATCCGAATCACTACTATCCTCATCATTGCGGTAACTGCTGCTGGACCATTGTCTCATCCCTCCATCCACACTGTCTGTTCCGGTGTTAGACACTTTGCGCTCCGATTCAGACAAACGCCATTGTGGATATGAGGCCGAGGTAGCGTGAGGCATACTGTCACCTCGATGCCTATTTCGTCCCGGCGACATTTCAGACGTATGTCCATCCAGACGATCACTGGAGCGATCTACCATGTCCCCCGGTTCCCCGGGTCGATGTAAGCGAGTGTGGTCACGTCGGTGCCGCGATTCCTGCGACAGTTTGTCGGCCAATTTTTGATTTTGGATTAACTGCGAACGGGAATGAATTGGAAGATTCATCGCTAAACAGGATTCACTAAATAGTGGGGACAAATTCTACTTCACTGTGTTTATGTTTGCTATCGTGCACCGAAGTTGTAATACAAATAACAGAAATGATGCTTATAATAATAATATTTGTGTAATGGTCATCCCTCGTCTTCCAAGAGCCCGAGCTCAAAAATCAAAATAATCACACACACAATCAAACGGTCTAGTGTAAACTGAATCGAGCAAGTTATGAATATTCCAAACGTGCTCACTGCTCTATCTCAACCGGATTCTAGATTCAACTGAATAATGGAACTAAGAACTCTGAATAGAAATGGACAGAAGGTACACAGAACTAATGTAAAAGAATGCAGTAATACCCACGTTTCCAGGTAAATTTAACTACCCTCGAGTTAAGCAGAGCTGCATCCTACAAGGCGCGTCCCTGGGTTGTGGATAGGGGGATACATTCACCGAAGAAGGTTGGCTGTGAATAAGTTGTGGCATACCACAACAAATAAGCAATCGCGAACAAACAGCGGCGGCAGTACCAGGGTGTGGTGGGTTTTCTGGCTAGTCACCTGGCTCCTGTTTAAAAGCCGCATAAGCTCCGTGACGGTGTGGTGACAGAGGTGGATGTGATTAGCCTTTTAAAACTAAAATCATTGACCCCCTCACAGGGATTACTTCCTGTTGCGTTGCATTTCGCACTTGGTTATGCAAAGGCTAGAGATACGCCCTCAAAATCAAAAATGACGAGTGACGCTTGGGACGTCTCTCGTACGAAACTCCCAAGATGCTCAATGATCATATCTGGAGCCGGCTTATCCTTTCCAAGGAGCCAGCCGTAGTCAAGTAGGTCAGTAAGATTTAACTACTGTTCGAATACCACCATCTCTCTATGCTCCCATAGGCTATTCGTAATAACATTCGGTCTTTCATGACCAATACCACACACGACACAGTCACAGTCAGAAACTGATCAGTAGCATCCATTTGAGAACGGGGAACTGAGAAGCCCTTCGTCGTCATTGTCTAGCTGCTTATATGCACTGCATGACTTATGCTATGAAAGCGATAGTCAGATGGCGACCAAAGCCACCCGTCGCTGCCTTCCTTTCGGTTCCGAGTTACACAAACCGAATGTACTCTGATGTCACTACTCAGTTTTAGTGGACAACTTTGCTGTCATCTAACCCACTGCCACATATATCCTTTTCATATCTTATATGATCTCGTAGTCCAAGTCCTATAAACGGTAAGTTCTCACAAATATTGGATCCCTCCATCACACGATGATCGACCACACTACTGTGTGAGGATTGAACCCCAGGGTCGTGAAGACCTGCTATTTACTGATGGAAATCGGTAACCTAGGCTCCGAAGCTCGGAGTTGCAAACCACATAAGGCCTAGCTAGAATGAACCGGACGATAGCAAGCCACTAACCACCAAACTATGTTGTTTCAGCTTTCACAACCTGTGACACTTAATTCTTTTGCGGCAATTTGATTGCTGTCTTTGGTAGCCTCTATTTGGATAAACGAAAGAAACAGACTCCACGTTTCCCTCACTCAGTCGATTCAGTCTCCCCTACCCTTCTTTCTTCATGTCTGAGTTTCAAATCCGTTAGTGACTATTATGAGTTGTCTAATACATCACTGCGTCCCACAGTGCTGAGGTGCTTGTTCTGATCAGTCTGTGTGCATGTCATTTGAACATTCCTGAGCTTTTTCCGGGCCAATTGCTGCCGAGATGATAATAATGATGATGATCCGTATGATCCACAATGGTAAACTGGTTACTCACCGACATCTCCCGTGTTTTCTCGTTCACTTGTCTGTTCATTTCGTGCCAGAAAGTGAGCATCAATTGCAATTCCACAAAAACTCGTTGAAATTGTCGCATAGCTTCCAAGGGCTGAATAATACTCGAATAGAGGACCAATTGAGGTATCTGATTAACAACGGAAAAAGAACGTATTTGAGCAAGCAAAGGTGATTCGATTGGAAATTGCAATTAACTTATTTCCTCTACAGAATGCATCTAAAACGACTCACCTGTTAGGTATAGCTTTTCAAGTTGAATTTCTCTTGGCTAACTGACAACGTGATTCCCAACGACTGCTGCTTTTAGCCTCATTCACGAGATGGAATGCGTCACTACCTCACATTATACCACATCTGTTGTTGCTTCTATTAGTCACATTCCATTTAAACGGTTTCGACAACGGTTGTTGGGGCTTCGGTTGTAAGATAACGATACTCCAGTAGAAAAGCACTAGAGGACTTTTTTGGTCAAAATGACCCATAGACATGATCTTGGTACGGTACTTTCATTGTGTCAATACTGTGTTTACTCTCCCCTGTTATTGAACACTTTAGCCAGTGATTTTGGTGTGCAGTTCACCAAGTTGTTAATCAAATTATATTTGTCTATTTTCTCTAATACATTCCACACTCTGGTCACCAACGAACACTGTCGTCAGAGCTAATTTCGCTCTGTTTTAAACACCGGGAACGAAGTTTTCGATTAAGTTCACATCTTCGGGCTTCTGAGTGACAAATGAATGAATCTCATTTCAGAATGAGACAATTTACGGACAGCTACATTGTTTGCCAATTCGTTCGCGATAAAAAGGGGATCATTTATTGGTATATTCCTTTTCACTGCACGAAAAAAGATATGCTATTTAGAATACTTTTTATCGATCAGAGCAAGCACCGTCATAAGAAAATAATCACATTTTAATGAAGAATGAACTCCCAGATTGCTCTGTTCCAAACATTTTTCAATTCTGGCGTGTAACTTTCGAATTGCTATAAACTTTATCGTAACCCTTCAGTTCACGCCAGTTCCAAACAGTAATACGTGACAATTACGAACATGGCATTATACGATAAAGTGACGAATAGTTATCGATAAACAAGTACAATATTGGAAGCTGAACTATATTTCTGAGTTCAAAGTCGTACAAGTTCGTTTATAGCTCTTCACGAGGGAATCCTCACATATATAATGTGTATATGTGCATTTTCTCGGACCTCAAAACCACCGTCTCATAGATCAAGAAGCCTTGACGACACTCATCTGATGTCGGATATTGGAACTCGAAAGATTCCATTTACACCGGATTGTATTCTGGCTGGATTCAGGCACCTTTCACCGGGAATAAGTCGGTCAGCCCTGGAATTGAACACAACACATTGGCTTTTTCCTAACAGCTTATTTGTAAGAGCAACTTCATTCCCGGTTGAGCCTGTTGAAACCATCGTATCGTGGACACGTTCAACTGATGCACCTTGTGTTCCACAGGCTTTATTCATCTCAGTATAGGCGTCCTCCATAGATTACGTTGGTTGGGGTGTGTTACGCATGTCACAGGTTGCTACGACAAGCGATGTTTACCGAGGCAGGTAGCGGTTGGAAAAAGGTCAAGGATGGTCAAACGAAGACCTTTCATGAGGGTGTGAAAACGAACCAGGAAACTGGGTCACATAGATCCCGTTAGGCTCCCTGGATGGTGACCCGAGATAATGGTCACCGATGGTTGAAGACACTGAGTGATATGGCCGGGTGTCGCAAACATTGGCGCTCATGCATCCACTCATTATTCTTGTAACACCACTCCATATGCATTCTCTAACCTCTGTTTGAATTGGCTTCTAGCATTCCAATCTTCATCCTTCTCTCGTATCCAAATGGGCGACCAAAAGGCGGCAACCAAAACCGGCGCACAAAAGTGCATGGTTAATGGTTGTAAGAAATGAACTGAACTGAACTGAACTGAACATCTCGGTATGCATTTCGACTATTGTTCGCAGTGAACATCTTAAACTTGTGTATGCAGATTGATGGCCATTTGTGGTGATATTCAAAGTTTCACTGTACCACACGGGAAATGTTGATAATACAGATATGATAATGCGATAATAATCGCGAGGCTTCATTTTACTATGCACTTTCAAAGT